TTTTGTTACTACTTCGTAACTAACTTTGCTACCATTATGAATCATAATGTAAATATCTCTGTTTTCTAATGGTCACAGGCAACCCCTGCGAAAGGGTCATTAGACCCCCCAAAGGGGTTGTAACTCACAGGTTGAGGACTGCTTCTTTAAGAGGTACAGCCCTGATGAAGGAAGTACACCACTGGGCTTTCAGGGTGTATAGCCTTGCCCCATTTCTATTCGGATTTCTATGCGAATGAAAATGTGATCAACTAACTTCCTGTTCACTATGCTTCCCCTGACTGTTGCCATGCCTTCCTTGCCATAACAGACTCTAATCCCTCTGGAACAATGAGCCAGAATAAACCCTTTTCTTCCCTAAATTGCTTTTTTTTTTTTTTTTTTTTTTTTTGTTAGGTATTTTTATCACAGCAACAAAAGGTAACACATCTCCACAATAGATGCTGCCTTTGATGCAGAAAACGTATGGGGCTTGGCTCAAGAGCGACTCATTCTGAAGGGTAGATTACAATGGCTGGCTACCCCATATTCTGTCCCGTAGGCAAGCAGGCTGAGTGGGACCTGTGGTTGGTTCCCCTGGGGTTCCTCAGTGCAGCATATCTCCAAATACAATGCTTTTGTTTGTGCTCATGGCAGGACAAACTGAAAGAGCCCACAGAAACTGAAGACCACAAAGGGGATGAGATGCTTGCAGCAGGAGGCTAGGCTGCCCTAATCCCAACACAGAAACCACTGGCAGAAGCAGGCATAAATGCTATCACAAACCCATGGCTAAGCTGTTACCTATTCCTTCTGCACTCATCTGAGACATCTGCTGGAGTGGGTCACTGATAGCAGGCACCCAGACTGATGAATGCTTCTCTGCCTCCACTCCTCAAACATGTAACCCACAGGCCATGCCAGGGGCACCCAGGCCAAGACAGACCTTGGCTTGTAGCACCCACAATTCATTGTTCCCAAGAAGGTCTGTGGGATTACTAAAATCCTACAGTAAATTTTAGCTCCAGCCTTGGTGGGGCTAAAATTTAGGCATGCAAAATATAGGAACACGGGGAGGAAAGCCCATCGACAGGAATGAGGGTCAAAGAAGGTATCAGTACATATTTTTGGTCATCTGGCTGCAATGGCCAGTCATACAAAGGAACAAAAGTTAGCAGTAAATCAAACATAAGAGAAGCCCCGGTACTCAGGACAACCCAGGACTTGGAAAGAACTCAGCTCAATGTTTTCCATGAGCGCATTTATTTCTTGAGAGGTCAGTAAAGTTGCAGCCATGTCTTGCTGCCTAGGGTGGTGCAGGATGACACCCACGTCTAAAGTACTGCAACAAATACAATCATTGTCACAGATGCCAGTTGCCACACACCAGCATCAGGCTCACCACACACCTGGGAAACCTTTACTTTATTCTCTTTGCAGGAGAGGTTTGACATGACTGGGCAGAGAATCAGGCTTACAGCCCTGGGGATAATCACATCTCCACTCCACCATCAGCAAAGAGACCCAGGCAGCTTGGTGACTCCAATACTTATACACGTAACAGGGACATTTTGCATAAAGGGCTTGTACTGACGGTTTGAGCAGGGCCTTTTCCCCATGCAGGTGCTTTGGTCCTCAGGGCTTAGACGTTGGGTTGATACCCACACTTGTTTCTGTGTGACAGAGACATGCTTTACCTTCCACCATCTATCAGCTTGTACTTTGAAAGTTGAAGATTGAGACAGGTGTTGGTGGCACACGCCTTTAGTCCCAGCACTCAGGAGGCACAGGCAGGTGGATCTCTGTGAGTTCAAGGCCAGCCTAGTCTACAGAGCTAGTTCCAGGACAGGCTCCAAAACAATCCAGAGAAGCCATGTCTCAAAAAACAAACAAAACAAAACAAAAAAGACAGCCCTGAGCTTATTAACCAAAAACACCACTTTGGGTGGCAGCAGTGTAAATTAATCTTTCCCTTTCTGCTTGAGAACATTTGCAATTCTTTTCTGTAAACGAGGCCAGCAAAAATCTGATTTGGAACTGGTCAGCAGTAAATGGTCTGCTTCCTTCCACAGCCAGGAAGCAGGGCTGGTTTTGAACTTAAACTAAAATTTAAAATAAAGTGCTTTGTCTAAATCCTCTTGCTCATAGTAGGTTTTCAGCCAAAGCAAGGGAGCCCTGGTTTTGTTACTGCTACACCAACCTCACACACAAACAACGCTCTGTAGTTCCTGCATGAAGGATGGGGGAGTATGGCCAGCTCTCTCCAGCCAACCTGAGATCTGCTTCTAGATTCATAGACACCTGAATTAGTGTTTATGAGGAACTGTTTTAAAACTAGTACTCTACCAAAATTTCAAGACAGAAACCGAAGCCACAAACGAATGCAGTGGAATAGTGTAACAGGTGACTTACATACGCACACTGTTGGCACCTGGTGCACAATCTTAATGATGTTCGTTTCAACATAATTACCCTATACCATGAAGAAACAGAAGTGGATAAACAGCTTGGAGAAGAGACTTCACAGTACAAGGAAGGCCCTGAGGGCACTTGTGTGTGTGTGTGTGTGTGTGTGTGTGTGTCGTCCCCCCCCGCCCATCTCTGTACTCTCTGCTGTGATGGCGTTCTCAATTTGCAAAGGCTGCTCAATGGAACCCGTAAAGGATAGGTTTTAGATGTGGGTAGGGAAGCCAGGAGCAGGGTGCTCATAGGGTCATTTGGAGGCTAGGATGGCTAAAAGCCATTTGTTCTTTTTTGTTGTAACTGCTGAAAGAGAGGAAGTATAACCTAAAATTCTGATGCCTTCACGCTTGAATAAACTGAACATAAATGTCAAAACCAATCAAACCAACAAAACCTGCATAAGCTGAGCATTCCCTGACCCAAAAGTCTGAAACCTAAAACTCTTGTCTGTACCATTGTGTTTTATATTTCGGAAATTTTATATTCAGAGACGCTCAGATGGTAAAGACCAAGATATTCCCAGAACCAAAATGTGTCTGGAACACTTCTGGCCCCAAGCATGTTAGTTGAGTGCTACTGCCCCACACTGAAGATATAGCATCAGAATCTCTGACACACCACAGTCTCTGGGAATCTAAAGCTATTTGTCACAATTTTGCACACTGTGTGGAATAACAACACTTCAAGTAAAGCACAACATTTAAATCATGTCCATTCTCAAGAAGAGTAGTAGGGATGACTGGCTTTGAGAAGAACTTTGGTATTGATGGATCTGTTCTGGAACTTTGCTGTGACTTAACATGAGGTGATCTGTAAAGACAACCCATGCTGAAACATCTCTTCAAAGTCACCTGAAAACTACCTGGAATTCTTCCAGGTTCTTTTTCTTCTATATCTGTTGTTGTTTTGAGAAGGGGTCTCATGTAGCCCTGGCTGGCTTGGAAGCTAACATCCTCCTTTCTCCATCTTCTAAGTGCTGGGGTCACAGGGCCTGCAGCACCACACCCATCAAGAATTTTCAAATTCTTATTTATTCTATGTTTATTTGAAACTAAAATTCACCGGGGCCCAGTGGCTCGGGCCTGTACTCCCAGCTTGAGAGATGAAGGCAGGAGATCAGAGTTTCAAGGTATAATTGGGCTACAAAATGAATTACAGGGCAGCCCAGTCAATACCTTAGTGAGACCCAACTCAATAATAATAATAATAAAGTGAAAAGAGGCCCAGAGAAATAGTTCAAAGGAGAAGGGCCTGTCCATCATGCACAGAGCCACAAGTTTAATCCCCATAATGGAGTAAATGAACCAAGAAAAAGGATTCTCAGTGTGGGTTTCCAATCTCTCTTGCTAAAACAGGAAAAAATTAAAAAATAAAAACATTCCTATAATTTTGGCTTTCATTGACATTTTTGGTCAAAAATTGTGACTTTGCCCCTGATATTCCTAATGAATAAAACGGGCCAGAAGGAGTTCCCTCACTTCATATCAGTGACAACTCAGATCTTCCTGTCAGCCTTCACATTGTTACGGGGAAGAAAATGGACCTTATTGACAGGTCAAGAGATAACACCCCACCCCAACAACAGTGACTCTGGAGGGCTGTGAGACAAGAATGGCACCTAGGGTACAGGGGGACACTGAACCCCGGTGCCAACTATATAACTTTCCCACAGTAAGCCAAAACCAGGGTACCCCAAGATGTGGCCAGAAGTTCCTGTTCACAGTAGAATTCTGAAGATCCCATAAAAAGATCCTGCAAGTTTGGCCCATTGTTATGAAACTTGTATGCCTGAGACTAATTGGCACCTGGGATACAGAATAAATTTCTCAGTTGCCCTAAAAGTTCTTTGTTTTAGATGTTGGCTATATTTGGCAAGAACCATGTATGTGTGGCCATGTCCTAGAAGCTGTCACTCATTGCTCCCAAAGTCAGCCTCAGCATATAGAGCTGCTGGCATGAGAAGCAAACAAACAAAAAACATATGTGAATTTCTATTTGCAAGAAAGGTCAAGTAAATCTGGAAGTGTCTGGCATAATCTGCATAAGACACATTTAGTGTTTGCATAAGTTTTTAACTTCTATGGCTAATATCAGAGACGAACACCTTCTCACACTTGTCAAAGCACATCCTTTTCCTATTACAATTTCTTCATGGCTCAAAAAAATCCTATATCCATACCCCTGTCCCCAGCCTCAGATGCACTATTTAATTCTAAACAGCAAGATATGTGAGGTGGTCTATCCTGCTCATAGCAACAGCCCGCATGCCATGGTCCAGACACAAACCCCAATAGTCCCTGAAGGAGAGAGGAAAAAGTGGTCTGGATCCTTCCTGCCTTTTATCCTCAATCTTTCAGAGCACATGTGGCTTTACTGATGTGTCCATCTTATAGTTCACCTCAACACTTCCTGTGACAGCCGGAGCCAGGTGTTCCCCACTGAGTATCTGGAGGCAAACAGGACTGCTGTACCAGTAATCTTCTGGGAAGCCTCCTGGCCAAACAGGCAGATTGCCTTTTCCCTTTAACAAACAAGATTATCAGGAAAAAAACAAGCTAGACAATGCACGAATCTGATTTCACTGGTTCCACTGTTCTGGTGGGGGCCTTTGTGGTCCCATCCTCCAGCTTTGAGGACTGGGGTGACTCAAGCTATGTGCAGGGATCTCTGGATGCTTCATTCACGGTGTGTTTGCCTCTGTGCCTGGGAAGCAACTTCTTGTTCAAGAGCCTGCTGAGAGTTGCCCCCTTCTTCAGCTTCCCCTCCGGGCTGTTGCAGGAATACCAGATCGTTATGTGACTGGCTCATGCCTGGGTCTTTCTGCTGGTGTCGCCGACGGAAGAAGAGCTTGGCGCTTTTCCTTAGCATTCCTTCTGCAAGAGGGGAGCACAGGAGTGGTCAGGGCTGTGGGAGGATGAGCCCAGGCCAAGAAGGAAGCAAAGCTGTCAGACACCTGTGACAAGAAGCCAGGCAGCTCTCTCAAGAAATAACCACTGCCCAGAGAGCAGAGCTGGTGGGAGCCGCTTTTCAAAGTGAAAGTAAGAACCTTCCAACAGCAGGACTGGCAAGCCTGCACTATTGAGTGGGTAGGTTGGGGTTCCTTATCACCCTCCCCTTTATTAGGACCTCTGTGATAAGCAAGGCTATGCTGTATGCCCAGGAATGAAGATCATGCTCCTAACAGCAAGCTTAGAGCCCTGTAAATCATGGGGCTCCTGTTTTTAATACAGTATTGCCCTTTGAGGAATAAAGTTTACTTTTAAAATTAATTCTAGGTCATTCTCTTCACTTACATTAGGATATTATATCTATTTTATCTACCAGTCTATTCATCTACTCACCCATTCACCCATACTAGGCTAAGCCATATAAAATATGTTAGTGGATCATTTTCAACCCAGAAAGCCTCATGTTGGGCTGGGAATGTAGTTCAGTGTAGTAAAGTACTTGCCAAGCATACACAAGGTCCTGGGTTCAATTACCAGCACACATATGCCCAACAATGAAAATAATAAAAACAAAGAAAGAAAAAAGGTGGGCAAGACAAAATGAAAAGAAGCCCTTGATTTTGTATCTTGGTACAGATGCCAAGTATGGCGTTACGGAACAGAAAACAAAGAGCGGTAGCACTTGGGGTGAAGATGGCACCTGAAAGTCAAGTGCAGACTAGAAGCAGCTCAGCATCACTTTTTCTTTTCTTTTCTTTTCTTTTCTTTTCTTTTCTTTTTATCAATTAGTTTAGCATCCTATTCACCCAGGCCCAGCAAGGGCAGGGGCAGTGCCAGGCTAGCCCGTGAAGTTTACTACTATATGCCTAAAGGGGTTGTGTTAAAAAGAAGAGAAGCCTGGCCATGGAGCCAGGGAGATCTGTCCTGAATTTGAAGGTTTGGCATGTGAGCCACAGCCTGGTGTTGCCACGGGTGGGAGGCATTGTTCCTAGAGGGAGTCCTGTCTCTGAGCAAGAGGCCAACTACCAATTAGTGTTTGGATGACTGGAGCTGGCTTATGTGTGAACACAAAGACACTCATGTGGGTAATTTTGTCACATCAAAAGCATCAGCTGGGCAGAGGACTAAGCTCTAGGCATGGGTACTCCTGGCTTCAAGGGGGTTCTAAGCCCTTAGGTTACCTGGGCTAGAGGTGGGGAAGGAGGGTCTGTGAAGATTTCAGACCTACAAGTACCTCCTGGGTTCTGTTCTAGGTAGCTGTGGAGTTCCCAAAGAGCACAAACAGGTGGGACACTCACATGTGAAATAGAGGAGATTGGAGGGTAAGTGGAAGCCTGAGAAAGGGAACATAATAATCCATGCCCTGGGCCAACTGTAGACCCGAGAACCCTTGTGATAGGAAGGGCCTACTTGTTCCTGAACTGAAGCTTGGCATGGGGTGGGGAATGTATTTTGGGTCAGGATAAGAAGAGCACTGGCTGCTCTTCCAGAGGTCCTGAGTTCAATTCCTAGCACCCACATGGGCTCACAACTGTCTGTGATGAGATCTGGTGCCCTCTTCTGGTGTCCAGGCAGACATATAGGCAAAACATTGTATACATAATAAACAAAAAACTGTTTGAATATAACCACCCTGTGCCTGTCTTCATGGTCTGACTTCCTACATTAACCCTGGGCTAATCTATGCATGTCCCTTGTGACCAAGGCACCTGTGTTGTTTTAATTTCTTTTCCTGTTGTTGTGATGAAGTGCTCTGATTAAAGCAATGTAGCCAGTGCTCTTTTTAACCTCTGAGCCATCTCTCTAGCCACAAACAGTTTCAAAAGGCGATTTTCACACTTCTTGGCCATCATTACAAGTTGACCAACAGAAATTGCAGCATGGATGCCTAAAGTCAAATTCCTGCCCTGAAGTGTCAAACACTTTCAACCAAATTAGAAGACTGATAGAGTTGAAAATCTTAAAGTCTTATTGTTTCTCAGCTGTTTGTCTAAGATCAACTGCAGAAATATTTATAAGGGAGAAAAAAAAAAGGTTTTAAGCGTCCATTTGTGATGACCTGTACAAATGTTCAAGGTTTAAACTATCAGTTTAGCAGCACCAACCATTCAGCAGGCCTGAACCTGTTCTCAGGTACCACACCATGCGGTGGCCTACAGCAAGGTTGTTTCCTGTTCTTCCAGCCTCCCTCATGATCTCTGCAGCCCATCTACAAGTTTGTTGAACTTCATTTTACACCATCAGTCAGAAATGGATGCTATCTTATGTACCCACACGGCAATCTCCCTGCACTGGTTTGTAAGATCTTCTTGGAAATTATGGCTTCTAGGGGATAACATGGGCTTTACTTTGAAGGGAATTCCTTTGATGCGGTTGCTGAGATTGTTTCAGCAGGCTTGCACTCCTGAGTCTGGGGGAACCCTCACTAAAAAACGAGGACGTCAGAGATGGGGAAGTGCCTACTTAGGTCACATGATGACATATGTGCGGCCCCAGGGTGATTGGCTCCTAAAGCCAGTGTTCCAGATCTAGCTTTTCTGTGCTGCCAGGGAAAGGGTTTGGCCTTGAATGTCAATGGGACCCACCCATGAGAAGTGGGTTCCAGGTGCCTGGAGCAGTGGGTGCCTCATGGTCTCAGGGAGGGGCATACAGACAGGGTGGACAGATCAAGGCACTGGCATGGTCTTTGGCAGGATTCCACAAGAATTTCATCTCCAGAGAAGGATACCAGGATGTGGGAGGATGAGACATTCCAATGAGGAAAGTTCACTTGTACCTGTGAGTAACTCAAATAAATGAACCCTTCTCTCTGTGTTCTCTCTTGTAGGGACTTGAGAGAGGTCTAGACCCTCTCTCCGGTAAGATAAGACCACATGGAAACATGTAGATTAATAGACATGGGTTAATATTTAAGACAGAGCTAGCCAATAAGAAACACTAGCAACAGGCCAACAGCTTTATATCTAATACAGCGTCTCTGTGTGTTATTTGGGGGCTAACACAGCTGTGGGACCAGGCTGGCAGAAAAACTGCCAGTAACAAGATTTAAGTCTAAGGACAGGTTACTGGGGAAAAGAGTTTCTATTTTGTTTCCACGGAAAATGAAAAGCTATGTATTCCTTCCAGACTAACATGGTTTGATCAAGCAAGACCACCCCCCCACAAACAGTGACCCAGGTGATCCAACATTCAAAACAGCTGGGACAAGGCAGCCTTGCAGACCACTACAGCCAGGATTTCTGTATCTTCTTAGGATTCCCATGACAGTGCCTTCTACCAGCAAAAAGCAGTTTGGAAAGAACGATACCCAAATTCCCAAATATTATCTATAAATGTTTGTTTTCATTTAAATGGGATTGGTTATAAATGGCTAATAATCACAACCAATTTCTTTTTAAAGGTAAAAAGGGGATTATGGCATAGAAATGAATACTTTGTTTTGGAATGGATTTTCATTTATTGATACAGATTTAATGTCAATTTTGTGACATGTATATTTCTCCTCTTGCTTAGGTACTGTGCTTATATAGCTCATTTTAAAATGCAATGTATAATTTAGTACAGATTATAGATACTTACCTATAATAGTCAAAACTTATAATTATGTTAGTTAGGTTTTCTAGATATACAGATATATATTTCAAATGGATACGTATTCTTCAAACCTTTCAAAGACCTATGAATATGGAATTTAAAATGTTTCAGGGTTTTCTTAACAGTGAGACATAACTGCTCCTGACAACACCACCTGCATCAGAAAGGAAGATGGACATCAAAGAAACCTCGTTATGGAGATTTACTTCCAATACAGCAAGACTAGCCTTTTGAGCAAGAAACCACTCTTATCTGGACTGTTTGGCTTTATTCTGTATAAACTGGACATGCAGAACCCCAGAAAAGTGACTTCTAAAACAAGATGGACATTGCTGTAGGGTTCCTGCTTCATGGAAGAGTCTGCCAGATATTCTATAGGACACAGATAAAGTGAATGACAAACTGCCAATACAGATGGACAGTTTAAAGTTTCCTGCTTTGCTGAGAAGTCTGCCAGACACACTATGGCCTATAGGCTTAAGATGGAACATTACAGAAGAACTTCGGGTGACTGACCAGGTAACAAGATGTCTCTGTCATTTCTAGAGTTTATATATTATCCTCCTGTGGTCTTTAAGGGAGTTGAAGACAGGCAGTTATGGTTATGGTTTTCCTTAGTTAGGATTAAAGATAAGTTACATATAAAACTTTAGACTCACAAAGATAGGATAGATGATGTATTATTTTCTTTAAATCTTGCTAAATATTAATGGACTAAATATTGTTAATATATAATATAAATAATATAAATGAGCTATATAAACACAACTAAACAAGAGAAGAAATATACATATCACAAAATTGACCTTAAAGTGTATCAATAAATGAAAATCCATTTTAAAGCAAAGTATTTATATCTACACCAAAAATCCTTCAGTGTTTAAGGAGACATCAGCATTGACTGTCCTGGTTTGACTTTTCACTCACTGTTTTCAAACTTTCATTTGATGTCATGTGAAATCTGATGCAAATCACATAATTTTTAAGTATGGATCTGGCACTAGGGAACATTCTCTCCCTGGTCTTAGTCTTCCCTTTAAAAACATCCCCAAGAAGACTGACGCATGAATAAACACACAGAGGAATTTGAAAATTATTCTCAATTTTAGCTCTGCTGTCACATTTCTAAATTTATCCTGTTTATTTCTGTGGAAGGACAGATATAAATAGCCAATGGAAGAATCTGTATCAAAATCTACATGTAGGAAGACAATGGCCCTAGCAACCTGGAAACTCATGCTCTGATGTCCAAAGTGTCTTCAGACAGGTCATGCATACAAGAGACAACTTGAGAGACAGGAAACCAATAAAGGAAACCCAGTCAGGCTGCCCAGGTGATACCTTGCAGAAGCCATCTCAGCAAGGTAACTTTGTAGCATCAGAGGACAGAGGAAATGTCCTGTCTGATGGTTGATGAAGGTAACAATCTACCTAGAAGCCAGGGAACAACCAACCACAGGGAAGGTCAAGCCAGCAAGCAAGGAGAAGTCTGTGGGCAACCTTCACTCTGCTGAGTACTCTCCACATAAGCAATGTCACAGAATTTTTTAAAAAGGCAAGATGAAAAATAACTTACTGTGCAGGTAACTAGTGATCCTCTTAAGTTAAATGGAATGAGCACAGAATGCAGAGATGTTGAGAGGCAAAAAGAAAAGCACAGGAGAGCAGAGTCAGAATGAAAGTTAGAGTTTGGAATCATTGTATCACAGTGCACACATATGCTCACACACTTGCACACATGTACATTCACATGCATACATGAGTACACTCATGCACACACATGCTCACACTTGTAAACATGCATACACATGCACACCAAAGCACAGACATACACATACTTACACACACATATACACACATATGTAAACACAGACAGTCATGCTCACACTTGTACATGCATGTACATATATATGCATTTTTGAGCACACATACGTGTGCACATGAAAGGTTGCTGTCCAAGATATTTTGCAACATTTCTATTTTTCTCAAACCTCTCTAGGGGCCTTTGTGATGAACACAGATAGGGTAAAATTTTACCACCCAGACCTAGATGCACAGTTCCAGTGGGTTTATCACACAACTGCAACAGCACTTTTTTTTTTCTCAAGTGCTAGGAACAAACCCAGGACCTCACACATGCTGCACAAAACACTCCACCACTGAGCTACATTCCTAGTCCTGCCAACACTTTTTGGAACTTCAAATAAATTGAATTTTGGGAATCAATTTTCTGTTATGGCTGAAGTATCATATAAATTCCTAGTTAGCAAGAGTCCAGGAGAATTCCAGTTCCATGGGCTCCCTCCAAAGCCTACAACACCCTACTCACTTATACCAAAAGATGCAGGTGGTGCAAGTTATGTATAAACTTTAGCTTAAAACCAAGCACGGGGCGGAGGTGGCTATGAGATTAAGAGCACTAGATGCCCTCTCTAGAGGACCCAGGTTCCACTTCACAGCACCCACATGGTGGCTCACAACCACATATAATTCCCATTCCAGGGAACGGGACACAGTCTTTTAGCCTCCGCAGGCACCAGGCATGCAAGTGGTGCCTAGACACACATGCACGCAAAACATTCCATACACATTAATTAAAAACAAAAACAAACAACTGAACCCCACAAAACCAATCCCTGTAGCACCAGTTATGAATAAACAAAAAGCGGCAGGAAATGAAATGGTTTGACAATCAATTTCCGGACCTATTTAAGATTCTGCCAACATCTCAAATACTAAGCTTCTAGAAACTGCAGGATAAAAACTAAGTGTGTGTGTGTGTGTGTGTGTGTGTGTGTGTGTGTGTGTGCGCGCGTGCATGTGCATGTGGGTTATTGCAGGTGTATTCACCTGTACATCTGTGTGGAGTTTAGAGGTTAATATGAGGTGTCTTCCCTCTATTTTTCTCCACCACAGTTTTTGAAAGAATAGCCCACTAAACCTGCAGCTCACCAACTAGCTAGTCTGGCTAGAGAGAGCTCTAGGGATCCTTATGTGTTAGTCTCCCAGTAGAACCAGGGGATTACAGATATATGCTTTTGCATGGGTGCTGGGGATCTGAACTTGGTTCTTCATGCTTGCACAGTAAAAACTTTACTACTGAGCATCTCCCTAGCCATATAAATGCATGCATGCGTGCATGCATGCATGCATGCATACATACATACATACAATTTTCCCTAAAACATGGTCTCACCATTTAGTTCTGGCTGCCTAGAATTCACCATGTACACCAGACTAGCCTAAATCCCTGCCTCTGCCTCCCAAGTGCTGGGACTAAAGGATGTGCTACCCATGCCTGAGCCCTACAAAATAACGTTTAAGATGTTGCCAAATATTTTATTTCAGAAAACTTTAGGTCAAGGCATTTCAAGGACTTGATGGCAGGTTCAACCTCAGCTCCCAGGAATCCAGGAATGGAAACACATGACCAGTCAAACATGCCTGGACCTCCCCCGGGTGCCTAGCCTCTGGGGGAAGCTCTCATGCATGAGAGGCTACTTCCAGCCCCCAGAGGATTCCCAAGAGGCATACATCTGTCTGGCCAGTGAGTGGAGAAGGGATGTAGGTGCATAGCAAGAAGGTATCCCAAGGAAGGGCCAAAGCTAGGGGAGCAGAAAAGACTAGAAGAAAGGAAAGCAGCAGTGGATGCATACACAGGGGTAGTAACCTGGCATCTCTGAGAAACCTGAGGGCATAGAGGGAGGTTTGGGTTCCGTAAGGTCATGGGAGTGTATAGACTATTGACTCAAGAAGTGGAGCCACAGGATATACCCTTGTTCCTCCCCTGCTCACTGACTTTCCCCAGAAACTTCCCAGAGGCTTCTTTGATCTCAGGGCAAAGACTAGGTGACAAAATGTGTACATAGGGTAATCAGTAGCCAGTCCACCTGATGCCCTTGGCCACAGCACACCAAGAGAAGATACAGGGTTGAAGGTCCTCAAGGCCAGGTTGTGGGAAACAGAGGCTGGGTGGTATGGAAAATCTTCCCCAGGAACACCCTCTTTTCTCTATTTCCTCTTTTAATGTGCAATTCCCCCCCCCATCTGTTCCTGCTTGGTACTGGCAAAGGGTACAAGTCACAGGCAACCAGCTAACCAACAACGGTTAAAGGGATGAGGGAGAGGGAAGAGGAGAGCACCTGGGACAGGTTCTTAACCCTCAGCACCTGGAACTTGTGTTGCACTGTGTGGTGGTGTCTGTGCCATGTTCCTAAAGAGTGGGGTACCTGTGTCCTCTACCCCTAGGGGTCACCAGCATACCCCATTTTCTGGTTGTGACACCACAGCTGTCTGAGACATTACCTATAACCTCCATGAGGCAAAACCGCCTAGCAGGAGACCCCACCTGTCCCTAGCGGAAGTGGCTGGCTAGGATTCCTAACACCTGGGGGTAGCTAAGCTTTTTGCCCAGTGCATTCCAAGAGGGTCCTAAGAACTTTGCTGGAGGGAAATGGGCTTGGAGCCACAGATATAAGGCAGAGCTAGAAGTGCATACTGAGCTCCACCACAGCTCCTGGTTTGACTGAGGTGCCTCCCTCAGCCCCTCACTTTTGAGAATGGTGGGTAGTTAGAATGGTCTCCAGGTCTTTGAGGTGAGGCTCAGTGAGTTTGAAGTCTCTAAGACCTAGAGATCTTCCCAAAGATGAGACAAAGGTCTGGATCCAAGTGTCCACACCCAAGAAATGCTAGGCTCTGGGGTAAGGGCTCATTTCTTGGTGGAAAGAAGTGATTGTGCTAACAAATTACTTCATTACTATGTGTATCAAGCCAGTAAGCAGTTACTCTGGGGTTTTCTTTCTTTGTAGATCCTGCTGATTCCAAGTGGTGAGGTCTGGTTTTGTTCTAGCTGGAGGAGGAAACTGCAAGGGAGCAAATAAGGTGAGCTGCCAACTTCTGCTCACTTTGCTCTGTCCCTGGACACAATGGCACCTAACTCTTTGTGAAGCCTTGGGAAAGCTCTGCTTCCAGATGGAGAGAGCCAGACAGGGGGGGATGCTTGGAGGTATGGAAACACAATGGCCCCCAGATGAAGAGATGAAGCCCGGGGGGGATGGAAGCCAGGACAGCCTCAGAGATTGTAAAAGGAAGGAGGCCTGCAAGGGAGCAATGACACAGAGAGGGGAAGCCAAGTGCAGGCTGGAGGTGGGGAGGGGGCAGGTGTTGAGAAATATACCTTTATGCTTCTTGATGGCTCCAAGACCGGAAGCACTCAAGGAGCTCTCTGACGGTTCATCCCCATCTGGTTCCTGTAGGCTGAAATGCTCCATGTTGCTGCTGGGATTCCTTTTCCAGGTCCTAGGAGTCTATATCATTCTCTCTAGGCTTGAGGCAGGTTGGGCCTGGGCTGGCTCATCTTCTTCAGGTGGAGTGGTAGAATAGGCTGCATCTGCCTCTGGCGAGCACAGAGGGGCGGGGCATCCCCCTGGTTGGTGCTGTCCATAGAGCTGCATAGTCCAGCAGGTGAGAGAAGCATTGTGGTCCTGAGACAGTGAGGTCTGCGGGGAGATGGCTACAGTTAGAGGCTGAGGACAGCTGAAGAATCAGCCCAGGGATCTAACAAGAGCATATGATTGGCAGGGAAGGCCCTGACACCAACTAAATATCACCTTCCAAGGCATTGTGACTTGAAATACCTTGTTGGTAGCCCCAAGAAGGCCCCTATGCTATATGGTAAATGCTTATAAAACAGGTTTCATCTTAGGCTGAGACTCTGAGGGTCATAGCTGAGGGTGCTGAGAAGAGCTCATACACTTCTCACTGCAGACCTATCAGTAAGGAAGCCCCCAGAAGATGAGTTCAAGGACTACACTTTTTTCCAAGTAGACAAAGTATACAGCAGCAAAAAAAAGTATGAACTTGGGCATTTATCTTTACACATTTTGTTATCAAGAACTTTCTTTTATCTTAAAGTAGAGATCAACTAGAAGATGATGTGTTCTGTACGATGTATTGTAAGGGTAAAGTTTTAGCACCAAACTAAAGGTATTGTGGAAAGCTGGGACAATGGATGAAACTGAATGACTTGGAAGGGGCTGCAGCTATGTTGTTCTCAACCTGGGTGGTAAATCGCACAAGTGGCTTTACCAAGTGACAGTTGACAGATGAACCAACTTACAGAGGTATGATGACTACCAATACAAC